GAACAATCTACCGCTCATAATGATTTTGGTATTGACATGGTGCAGACCTTCGTATCGTATGGCGCCAGCTGAGTTAAATGAATTGAAAGAGCAACTTCAGGAACTCCTTGAAAAGGGGTTTATTAGGCCTAGTATGTGACCTTGGGATGCACCAATTCTATTTGTGTAAAAGAAAGATGGTACTATGCGGATGTGCATTGATTATAGGCAGTTGAACAAAGTTACAATCAAGAATACATATCCATTGCCGTGTATTGATGATTTATTTGACCAACTTCAGGGAGCGAGTGTGTTCTCCAAAATTGATTTGAGATTAAGGTATCACCAATTGAAAATTCGGGATTCGGATATTCTGAAGACGACATTCAGAACTCGTTATGGCCACTATGAATTTCTTGTAATGTCTTTTCGGCTAACCAATGCCCCCAGCAGCATTTATGCATTTGATGAATAGTGTATTCCAGCCATATCTTGATTTATTTGTAGTGGTATTTATTGATGATATTCTGGTGTACTCACGTAGCCAGGAGGAGCATGCACAACCCTTGCGTATTGTATTATAGAGGTTGAGGGAGGAGAATATTATGCCAAATTCTCTAAGTGTGAGTTCTGGCTTAGTTCGGTGGCATTTTTGGGACACATAGTGTCCAGTGAAGGAATTAAGGTGTATCCGAAGAAAATAGAGTCAGTTCATAATTGGCACAGACCATCTTTAGTTACTGAGATTCGGAGTTTTCTCGGCTTGGCCGGTTATTATCGTCACTTTGTGGAGGGTTTCTCGTCTATTGCATCGCCTATAACTAAATTGATCCATAAAGATGCTCCGTTCAGGTGGTCAGATGAATGTGAAGAGAGTTTTCAGAAGCTCAAGACAACTTTGACTACAACTCCGATATTGGTATTGCCCACAGGTTCAGGTCTTATACTGTGTATTGTGATGCGTCGCATATTGGTCTCGGCGCAGTGCTGATGCAAGACGGTAGGGAGATTGCCTATGCATCCAGACAATTAAAGGTACATGAGAAGAATTATCCAGTCCACGATCTTGAGTTAGCAGCTATTGTTCATGCTTTGAAAAGTTTGCGGCATTACTTGTACGGTGTCCAGTGTGAGGTATATACCGATCATCGAAGTGTACAACATTTGTTTAAACGGAAGGATCTTAACTTGCGGCAGCGAAGGTAGTTGGAGTTGCTTAAGGATTATGATATCACCATTATCTATCATCTCGGAAAGGCCAATGTGGTGGCCGATGCCTTGAGTCATAAGGCGGAGAGTTTGGGCAGCTTAGCATACTTACCGGTAGTAGAGAGGCCTTTAGCCTTGGATGTTCAGGCCTTGACTAATCAGTTTTTTAGATTGGATGTTTTCGAGCCGAATCTTTGATATGATGGCACGATGAGTATTTCTGTGCGGTTTGAAATGAGATTGGGTTGTTGGTTATTACCGTATGAAAGGAAATGAAGCTGGATTTCTGTTATGATTACTTATTCGTTAAGTACTTACATGTCTTTTACTCTGGTTCTATTAATGTTGGTTGGTTTGTATGATATTTTTAGTTTGATTTCTATATATATTTAACTCTGTGATTTCCCTTTGGCTTGTTACATTTATAGTTATGTCTTTACCTTGTCTGTTACTGTTACACATGCGCTTTTACTTGATTTACTTCTGCTACATGTCCTCTTCGAATTCATGCCATTACTTATATATGCGCATACATGTTACATGCCTCTAATTGTCACGTGATTTACTTGTTAGATGGCTTAACTTGCTACATGTCTTCACTTACTACACGTCTTGACTGACTAAATGTTTTCACTTACAATTTACTTCTACTTATCATATGATTTTACTTGTTAAATTTCTTCACTTGCTACATTCTTCTACGTGCCGCATGATTCATTTATATTGAATGCTTTCGTTTGATCCTTGTTCTTACTTAAAAAACATCTTTACTCATTTCGTGTTCTACTTCCCTTTGCTAAACCGGATTGGATAACTTTTAGATTGGTTGTGTGTTTACGCTTTGTGGAATCCTTGCCTTTATACGTGGGATACTAGCTTTGTGGTGCTGTGTTGCACATCTTATTTTGTTGAGTTTGTATTCATAGTTGATTTTCACGTGTTACTTTTTTTGATATTACGTTGTAAATTTCCTGTGCTCGGTATTTTATATATATATATA